CCTGGGCAGAGAGAGCAGGAGGCTGTTTTCAGGGTGGGGGGAGCGAGCTCTCCCGTTGCAGGGGTGCCAGCTGTTCAGGGCACTGGGAGCCGTGCCACAGAGGGGCAGCGGGTCACGGCGAGCTGGTGCGCAGCCAGGCATGCAGTGGTGGCCGGCGGCCAGGGGGGTGCTGCCTGGGCCCCCCACCCCGGCCCGGGTGTTACCTTGGGCGGAGGGTCCGGCGGGAGAGGCCGGGAGGGCGGATCGGGCCGGGCCGAGCCGAGGGCAGCCGGCTGCAGAGAGAGGGAGAGGGGGCAGGCAGCCATGCAGCCCCGCGGCCGGGCAAGCCGTGCAGCATGCGGAGACCCCCCTCCCGCCGCCAAGCTGAGACCCCCCCGCCCCTAGCAGGCAGCTCCGGGGCTCAGCCCCGGCTTGGATGGCCACCGTGGCCACCGGATGGGCACCAATCCTCGAGAAGTGTGGCCAGTGCTGAAGGTGGCACAGGCCCCCCAAGCAGTGTGGTCCAGGGCCGTGCCAGGCTGCTCCTGTCCCAGGGTGCCACGACAAGGCATGGCATGGAGGGACGCTCAGAATCCTCCTCGGCAACAACCAGCCCGAACCCTGGTACCCACGGCAACCGCAGCCTGTTACCACGGTGACAGCATCCCCCTCACCAGCATCCCTCTCCATCCCCATCTCTCTCTCCCCACCCCGGGATCTCACCTTGCTGCTGTGCATGACCTGCAGCTCCGTGGCCTGACGCCACTGCGGGGGCCGGGGGCGCTCGGGGGGGCCCTGGCTGCCCGACCGGGGCTCCGGCTGTGAGATCCTGCAGGGAAGAGGCAGGGTCAGGCCCCGCTCCTCTGGGCGGTCGGGGGAGACCCTGCGTGACAACCGAGCAACACCGACACCAGCAGAAGCCCAAGAGAAACGAACCCCTCGGCACCAGAAGATGCGACACCCTGCACCCCGGGGCTGCCCCACACCCCCCGGGCACTGCCAGGGGAAGATGGCAGCAGCGGAGGCCTTGCGAAGCAGGATGGCTCAGGGACAGCCCCACGCCCAGGCGCCGGCAGTGTCGTTACCCGCTCCAGCCGTCTGGGGCTTCTGGACCCAGGAATCGGACCCGGGTCTCAGCGCTGTGGGGAGAAGAGTGGGGGGGCTCAGCCCTGGGCTGGGGCGGGGGTGGGGGAAGGAACCGCGGTGACACGGGGTGAGGAACCGCGGTGACACGGGGCGACGATGCATGACAGGGTCTGCTACCTGCGCGGGGGGGGTTGGGGGGGGATACAGGCAGGCGTGCACACACAGACACACACACACACGGACTGTCACCTGCCTGGGTACACACACATGCACACCGCTGGCTCAGCCGCTGTGGGACACACGTGTGCGTACAAACACACATGCCCATGCCCCGCGTACCCACTGCACATATGTGTGTGCCCCCATGCAGGCGGGCGGGCAGGCAGCGCTGGTGGCTGCTGCAGCACACGCGTGCACGCCCAGAGGCAGTGTGTGCCACCCGCGTGCCACCCATCCCCGCCGTCCCCGTTACCTGTACTGGCAGGAGGTCCCTTTGCCGAGCTGGCAGAGGCGCTTGTGCAGTCCGGCGCGGCGGGCGCAGCAGAGCCCCAGCGCCAGGGCCAGCCCCAGCAGCGCGCTCAGCAGCAGGGCGGTGGGCAGGGCGCTCCCCCCTGCGGAGAGCGGCACGTCAGCACCCCCCCCGTGGCACCCCACGCCAGCTGTGGCCACACAAAGCCCCATTCTCCATGCCCGCCTGCCTCTGCCCTCACCTCGCTCCAGGCTGGCAGGGCCGCTGTCCTGGCTGCCCCCCGGCCCGCGGGTCTCGCACGTCGGGGGGGCCCAGCCCCGCTCGCAGTGGCAGTGCCCGTGGTTGTTGCACACCTGGGGTGGGTGAAAGCGAGCCTCAGCCCCACTGGCACATCCCCACGTCCATCACCCGCCTCCTGGCCCCATACTCACCCCGTGCCCATGGCACTTGCTCTGGCACTGCTGGTCACCCAGCGCTGAGACGTCCTGGCACCGGTGCTGGAGGCAAACCTGCCAGGGAACGTGGCGTAAGCACCTGGTGAGCCCCCCCAGCTCCTTTCCCTCCCACCCCCATCAGTGCTTACCTTTCCAGGGCCGCAGGTGGTGCCAGGCAGCACCATGGCTGCATCGCTCACGTCCTCGTCCCCTGGCAGGTGGGTTCCCTGGCAGGACCCTTCTGGAGTGTCCCTCCGGGTGCTGCCGTGCTGGCACTGCAGCATTCCACAGCCGGCGTCCCTGTGGAGACAGAGGGGTCAGGGGCCGGGAGGGGGCAGCAAGGGGAGGATGGCGAGAGCGGGAGGCACTCACCCCTGGGCACAAGCGACGTAGGAGCCATTGGGGAGCTGCCCGCAGTGCCCGTGTTCATCCCCTTTTGCGTTCAGGGAGGCCATGCAGGAGCTGGAGACGGGGCCGGCACCTGCAGCAGGGAGGCAATGAGCCTCAGCATCCTGTACCCAGCCCCCAGCCCCCTCCCCCGGCCCCGCCGTACCTGTCCCCAGCAGCTGCTGGCACTGTCCCTCATAGGTGGCACAGGCGCCACGGAAGCAGACAGCATCCCCACCAGCACAGGGCTGCCCGTCCTGCAGGAAGGCGTCGGGTGGGCAGTGGGGTGAGACCCCATCGCAGAACTCAGGCAGGTCACACTCGCCCAGTGGCTCCCGGCAGGGGTGTCCGGCGCGGCGCAGCTGCGGGGTGGCACAGTCAGATGAGTGGGTACCCCCAGGAAACCCACCCCGAGGGTGGCTGCGGTGCCGTCGATGCCGGCTGCCTGCCCCCACGCACCTGGCAGTCCTGGCAGCAGGCATCCCCCGAGGCGCACTCAGCTCCTGGCATCAGCTGGCAGCTGCTGCTGTTGCAGCAGGGATCGGTGCACTCCTGCCGGCAGAGGGGCTGCGGTGAGCGGGTGGCACCGGCACCCCCCTGCCAGCCCCCTCAGCGGGGTCAGGACATGGCACCCCTGGGCAGAGCCACGGTATGGGCAGCCCCAGGCTCAGGAAAAGGGGATGACAGCAGCAGGGACCCCAGCCCACCCGGAGCCCCCTGTACCAAGCTGAGGCCGCAGTCGCAGCCCTCGTCTGCCTCCACAAAGCCGTTGCCGCAGCGGGGGCTGCCGGCCAGGCGCCGGGGCTCGGGGACGTTGGAGAGGCACCAGCCCTGGCCCCGCCGCAGGCTGTGCTCCAGGTCCTGCCGGCTGCAGTTACTGAAGCTCAAGCCTGGCGTCAGCCTGTGGAGCCGGAGAGGGGCCGGTGAGGTGGGGAGGGGGCTTGGCCCTGGCACTCCTCGGCCCTGCCTGCTGCCCTCACCCCGTGGGCGATGCCATGATGCAGCCACGGTCCTGCCGGAGGTCGCTGCAGTCGCAGAAGCGGCCAGCGCTGTCGTGGCGCATGCCCAGGTTGTGCCCCAGCTGATGGGCCACGGTGGAGGCGACGACGAGGACACTGATGGAGTGGTCCTGCAGGAGAGGGGGGGTCAGGGCAGGTAGGGGGGCAGCAGGACAGGGCGGGACAAGGGTTACTGACCATGCTGACCCCCCCGGAGCGCGCGGGGGAACACATGGAGGCTTGAGCCGACATCCCCACCGAGACATCGTCAAAGTGGGCACCCCTGGGGAGAGAGCGCAGGGGTGAGGGAGGGTTGACCACGTGTCCCGTCCCCCGTCCCCGTCCCCCAACTCACGTGAGGAGCTGAGCGTTGTCATGGGGCAGCCGCGGCAGCAGCTCCTCCCGGCGCCAGCGCAGGAACCGCTCCAGCGCAGCCCGGGCGCTGCTGCCCACTGCAAACCTGTCGCCCTCGCTCCAGACCTCCACCGCCAGCAAGGCCACCCGCACTCCCAGCGGCTGGAAGAACTTGAGGGAGAGGGGGGGCAGTGGGGTGAGACACACCCCAACAGGGGCCACCCCTGGCCCCACAGCGGCGAGGGCACAGCCGAGCCGAGCACCGGACGGCAGCCGGAGGGTTGCAGCAGTTGACTCACCGCGTCCACCTGGTTGGCGATTTCCAGGGTCCGGGTGCGGACGCGTTGCAGGTTGCGGTAATTCTGGAACTGGGGGGCACAGGGAGGGCCGTCAGGGAGGGTGGCAGGGGAGCAGGGCAGCCTCTGCGCCAGGGATGTCTGCCCAGCACTCACCGCAGCGTGGTCCACCACCATCACCAGCTCCACGAACCGCTGCTGCTCCACCACTGCCCGCTTGCCCTGGGGAGCGGAGGGGGTCAGGGGGTAGGTGAGGGGACCCCCTCCAGTGGGGCAGAACTCACGGGGGACCTACCCTCTGTGGCCAGGGGGGCTCCGTATCCTCCACCTCCTCCCAGGGGGGGTCTGGGAGGTCCTGTCCACAGGCCCGTGGTGCCAGACGGACCTCCTGTGACCGGTACGCAACGTGCTGCCCCGGGGGACCACCGGTGTCCGGCTCCAGCCCGTAGCTCCTGTTCTCTGACAGCCGGAGGTGGCCGCTGGGGACAGGGAGAGGAGGCATCAGTGGTGCGGAGGGAGCTGGGCTTGGGGACCACCGGGGCCGGAGGGGCTCACCTGAGTCCGGCACAGGCACAGAGGCTGGCCCAGGAGCCAGGGAAGCCCTGCACCATCCCCCGGTAGCAGCAGTGCTCCTGCAACAGAGAGGGAGACTCAGGAGCCACCCCATAAGTGGGGTCCCCCCGGGGCATGGGGACAGCTCGGGAGACACGTGTGCCTGGGCCCTACCTGCTCGCTGGCCTCCTGCGTCACCCGCGTGCCGTTGGGCAGGTAGTAGAGCAGCGTCCCGGCGCCCAGCACCAGCTCCCTGCCAGAGGCACACGTCACCCACACTGCTGGGACCCCCCAGCTCACCCCACTCTGATGAAAACTGGGACCCTGATACCTCCCACCCTGCTGGGGGTGCCCCCTAGATGGAGACAGGTTCCCCCTGGGACCACCGCCACATGCCTACCACAGATGGAGAAGGGGAACAAGGGACCCCCACTCCACGTGCACCACAGATGGAGAGAGGCTCCCCCTGACCCCCACCCCTTGTGCACCACGGATGGAGACAGAGCCCATGGAATCCCCACCCTGCATGCACCGTTCATGGATACAGGACCCCCGGGACCCCCATCCCACTCCCAACCCCTGCTCTGCCCCAGCCAGCCGCCCACTCACCAGTTTTGCTCCAGCTCCAGCACCAGCCGCATCCCCTCCAGCTCCAGCAGGACCCGCAGCCGGGCAGGGAACCCCTCCTGCCACAGGCAGCGCTTAGAGGAGGGACCCTCTGCCCCAGGGGACCCAATCTTGTGCCTGCCAAGGGTCCCCTCTCGTCCCCGCTGCCCTCTGAACTGCCGTGACCCCCAGCGGGGTGTTGGTGGGGGGCCGGGGGACCCGCCTGGCCCTGGTGCGTGCCCGGAGGGAGGGGGCAGAAGGGATCCCCTGCCCGCCCCGGCCCCCACCCTCACACCCCGCAGGAAGCGTCCCTCCCTCTCAGGCTCATTGTGCCGAGGACTGGGGGGGTTCGGACGGAGCCGGCCCCCCACCCCCGCCGCCCCCCGTGCTTCCTGCCCGGTGCAGGGCGGCGGAAACGCTGGAGAGACTCCCAACGGCTGCAGGGCGGGCTGGGCCCTTCCGCCCCGGCCGGGAGGGGTGCCAGGCACAGGGTGGGTGCCCCGACACAGCAAGGGCCCTCCCAGCATCAGGAGAGCAGGGGAAGGGGGATTTGCCAGGGGGACCCCTCCCCACCGCCCCTGGGACACCCAGGGGGTTTGGACCCCCAGCGGACCTGGATGCCAGGTTTCCCGCACCGAGGGGGACAGTGGGAGGTGGCAGGGTGCAAGCAGCCCCCCCCCCACCATCACAAGGCCCTACACAGCGTGGGCAACCCCGGGACGCAGGCGGGGGCTCACCTTGGTGGCCTCTGCCAGGCTGAGCGTCTGGTGGTCCCTCAGGACCTGCGGGGTCACGTGCCAGAAGTGTCCCAATTCCGCAGGGCGCTGCTGCGAGCTGTCACCTGCACGGGGCCCACGGCCGCTCCATCACAGCTCTGTCACCCGTTGTCGCTCGGTCCCCACAGTCCCCCATCACCGTGTGGCCCCCCAGGGCCAGGGCGGGGGTTGGGGATCAGGAATGGGGGGGGGGAATT